TTGGCTGATTTTAGTACAACATTTAGTGGAACATGATGGAAATTGTGCATTAAATGAATAGTTCCCCAAAAATGAAAAAATGGCAAACAACTCAAAATAATAGAACTGACATTACATTATTATATGAACTATCTTGCCCTCTGGATAGCAGTATTGGCTATTGAAAAAATTAAGTTTGGTCATCTATAGCTTGCAATACTACTAACAACATTATAATAATAATAATAATAATACACATAAAAATAGAAAATGAGGTCTACCAGGGCTCGAACTCCCAAAGGAAGCCTGTGCAGACAGATGTAAAGAAAAAGAAATAGGTTATCACATTGTGCAAAATACATTACAGTGCAATGATCAGCAATAGAAACGTATGAAACCAAGCGAATATTCAATTTGACATAGTTTGCGTGCAAACATTAAAAGTAAAACCCATGACAGTAAATGCACAAGCATGTGTCCCTTCTTATAAAAAAAATTTAAAACGCTTAACTACTTATTAATGCAATAAAACTACACTTATTAATGACACAAACCAAACTGCCATCATCTGTATACGGATGCTGTCATCCTCTCTAAACACTGCAAAATCCCATCGACTCACACCATAAACAAACCTTTCCTGCAAGTTAATAGCCGACATGCATGCGCACAATATATTACAACACAATGAAGCCTAAAAAACTAATCAAATGCGTCATGAAAACGGCATTTATATCGAGTACTGTATCAATTACAGGCGACGATTTCTTGTTTGTTTGTTTTTTTTCCCCCTGTGAGCTAACGGGGATGAGATTCAGAGGCCTCTCCGATCCTGATAGATCACTCTTCATTTAAACCGGTTTACTATCGTCGGCTTAACACAATTATTACTATAAACCCCGGCGTATATATAACAGGATCTACTTTACGCATATATATCAATGAACGTCACCAATAACACAGTAAATCGTTAAAGAGATGTATTTAAAATCGAATACTTTTTCCAGCTATCCAGCTTACCTCCGCCATATTGGTGTCTTCGGCCTCATAGGTTGGCCGTGCTGCAGTACCCGGATGTCTACAGGGAGCCAATGATAGATGCAGAACTTTTGGCACACTTTTCAAACAGGTTTACAGCAAACCGGGTTTTAGATTAAAGCTGTTCATAGACCTCACACACAGTAGTCTATGTGGGTTACACTTGATAATTAGCTTTGAGATTTACACCTTTATATACAGGTTTGTCATTCACATTCTTGTGCTTTTTGCAAGACTATTATTGTAGCTAACCATATTGTAATAGCCTACTACTAATTTGCTTAGCATTATGACTCTTATTATGAGCTTTGCATCATGCATTGCATTATGACTTCTGTTTAAGTTGCTTACATCTGTAATAGTGTGACACTATTAAAGATGTAAGCAACTTAAACAGAATACGAGTCATAATGCTAAGCAAATTAGTATTACAATATGGTTATATGCAATAATAGTCACACGTTAATTTATATAACCAGCTAACAAATATATGTTCTGAGACATATTAATATTAACAACGCTCCCATTAAATGATGAAAACGTTTCTGAATATTCTCTGAACGTTCAAAACGTCCAGGTTTCTAAATGTTTTAAAAACGTTTTTTTTTTTCATAAAAACAGTTTTTTCATAAACTTTTCATTTTATCATTTTGCAAGCATTATGGGGACGTTACTTTTGAATGTTCTGTCAAAGTTCTGGGGGGGGGGGGGGGGAGTTCAATAAAAAATGTGGAAGGACGTTTTGTTTTGCTAGAGCTCTATACAATATAGATTGTTTCAAAGAAGCTCTGCGGTAACAAACAGGAAAATAACAGTATTGCAAAATACATCAATTATTAAACAAATTCAATTTCAGATGTAAAGCAGCTCTACAGAAGACAATAGTGTCATTATTCTTCTCATTTTAGTACAGTGTTGATTCAGTTTAGTTCAATATCAGTGTTGCAAAGTTCATCAGTTACGCAACAAACGTACAATGGTGTCATTATTCAGCTCCAGTCAGTTCAGTGTTATTCAGTTCAGTTCAATTACAGTGCAAAGTTAATTGATTATGAAACAAGTGCAATTCAACTATAAGCAACTATACAGAAGGCAACAGTATATCATATATTTATTATTTGTATACTGACAGTTAATATTAATAGATCTCTGATGACATCCATCTAACAAGAATGACCATTCCACAGTATATAATGCCAGTCCTCCACATTGAATATGCTCATGAATATGCTGTCTAGCAATGCCCTAGCAACCACCAGAAATATCCTAGCAACCTCCTACGTCCCTTTAAAACTTTAATTTCTTTTTAAACTGTTCCCAGCATTAAAGCACATAAGACTGTTTTGAACTTCAGCCAAAGCTTTGTCAAGTTTGACTTAATAAATCTGTTTTGTTTAGATAACTAAAACTAAATCTAAGACCATAAATATTTTTCATTATTTGAAATAAAATAAACAGTAACTGAACTGAAATAAAATAATTGTATTTAAGCTAATTGCCAAGGCCTCATGACCCCACATAGGATAAGCAGCTTGAAGAATGGATATAGCTGCCAAGGCAGTATTTCTCGTTTTCATTTAGTGATATACTAAAGTAACTTAAACTAAAACTAAAATACAAAAATTCATAAAAACTATACATATTTAAAAAATAATAATAATTACAAAAATACAAAACAAAATTACTAATAAAATTAAACTAAATATATTTGTATAAAAAACACTAGCTTCTCTCATCTTTTTGTATTCTTTCTGTTTGTTTTCTTTTTATTTATTATACAATTAACAAAAGCAAGAAAGGCCTCTAACACTAGCTTGCTCTATTCTTTTTCTATTCTATCTGTTTTCTTTTTATTTCAATTCAATTAAATTCAAGTTTATTTGTATAGCACTTTTCACGATACAAATCGTTGCAAAGCAACTTTACAGAAAATTAAGTTTCTACAATATTTAGTGGTAGCTTATCAGTGGTGACTGTCAGTTAATGTACATATGGCAGAAATGTATGGAAAAATCAATTCAAGACGTAATCAAACAGACGATGAACACTATTAACAGCAATTATTATATGATGCAATCAAACTTACAGCAAAATGTGGTAGTTCTGTATGTTGTTTCAGGGTTGGCATCATCTGAGGTCCTCTGAGGGGTTGGCATCATCTCTTCTCAGGTGTTCTGGATCCAGACTGAAGCTTGTGTAAATCCTAAAAACAGAGAAACAAATAGAGACATAATTAGCATAGCCGCTGTTCCAACCAAGCAAAATTGATTTGTTTAACCCAAGCTAAAGAATAATAATGTGCATTTGATCAGATATAACTGCAGTACAAGATTATAGATTATTAATTATTATTATAATTATAGTACAAGATTATGAGATGCATTATTTGAATGCTTGGCCAAAGAGATGTGTCTTTAATCTAGATTTAAACAGGTGAGTTCCATCACGATATATACGTCTAATATTTTGTAACTGATACGGAACTTAATAGGTAATCAGTGCGACTGTAAAATTGGGGTAATATGATCATATTTTCTTGACCTGGTAAGGACTCTAGCCGCTGCATTTTGGACTACCTCTAGCTTGTTTATTGAAGATGCAGGACAACCACCTAGCAGTGCATTACAATAGTCCAGTCTAGAGGTCACGAATGCATGAACTAGCTTTTCTGCATCAGAAAGAGATAACAGAAACATGTTTCGTAGCTTGGCAATGTTTTTAAAATGGAAGAATGCTGTTTTTGTAACATGGGAAATATGATTTTCGAAAGACAAGTTGCTATCTAACACCCAGATTTTTGACTGTAGAGGAAGTAACAGTACATCCGTCTAGTTGCAAATTTTAATCTAAGAGATTCTGTGTACTGTTTTTTGGTCCAATAAGTAATATCTCTGTCTTATCCGAATTTAATAGGAGAAAATTATTGGTCATCCAATCTTTTACATTTTTAACACACTCTGTT